CCGGTAGGAATTAATTCTCAATGAGCGTGTATTACCTCACACGAATTAACTAGGGGATTTAATGAAATTGTGGTAACTAAATGCAACGGATGTCCATGACCTCTGACGAGCATCAGTTGCGTAAATGACTTTCCACCGATGCATTGTTATGCAATTTCAATCGTTTGGAAAAATCGGGTGAATCGAGTGATCACTTTCACGAGGTCATGCGCAACTGGGTGACCTTGTGGTGGTGATTTTTTTTTTCTTTCAATTGGTGCAGTTGAAAGTTGGCAGATGGAGATTAAGAATGACGGGGCAATTGCATTTTCAGTCGGTTATCCTTCGAATACATTTCCAGCTGGGCGGGTTGATTTTGTAATTCGATGATTACTACAATGTTGAGTTCCATTGGAGCAAGAGTCCCTGGTATTTATGATAAATGGCCCAAATTATTGGACCACTTCAGGGACTGAAAAATACTCTCGATAACACGTGGTTATGAGGGGACCATGCCCTTGGAGAAATTTCCAACGAAATTTCTATAATCTGACGTACCACATATGTCACATATTTTATAATCGAATTATTTTTTGATCGAGTCATGTTGGAATAATCATTTAGATGATTGATCTACACTCTCCTTGATTATGTACTTTATATTGAACATGTTTTATGGCGATATCGCATTCAGTATTTTCTTTTTCAATTCCACTTCTTACTTTTGAATTCGGGTTTCGTTCAACGCGATTTCACCTTCTGCCTTACATAAAATCCCATTTATATCCATTACCCCCTCTCAAGTCTAAATTCGAGAATAATTACTATCAATTGACTCTCAATGGCCTCCAATTATCTGATCGTTACCCAGCTGATTAAAAAGAATCCTCGAACAGGATTTTTTTTTTCTTAACTGTATTTTTTATAACTCTATACAATATTAATAGAGACCACATCCATATATGTATAATCGAAACAATTGGATAATTGCATATATTTACTATAAATATAGCTATTGTTACTGATAAATTATTAGTTAATAATTATAATGTCTCGAATAAACTCTTCTGATAATTATGCATTTCTTCCGAATTTTATTTTCTTGAGAGAAAAATTTCTGTCAATTCTGCAATGTTAACAATCATTGAGAAATCACGTTCAAGATCGCAATTAAAGTCATTAAACCCATTATTAATTGGGCTATTAAATAATAACACAATGTAAAAACGTATTATTTTTTCT